TTCAGACATAATTATATTTATGTTCTGTTCAGTGGCGTAGCAAGGTCGGGTGTCACCCGGAGCGGCACTTAATGGTGTCACCCCCCCCCCCCCCCCAGAGACGTAGCGACTCTTCTCGGGGACAAACTTTCAATTTTCGATTCGCGCCCCCCCCCCCCCCTCAAACTTTCGATTTGCACCCCTCCCCCGTCACATTTTTCTCTATATATTTTACTATTTTTGCCTTGATGTCACCCCCCCCCCCTAAATGGTGTCAACCGTTCCGCACCCCCGCCCGCCGCCTCGCTACGCCTCTGGTCTGTTACTTTTGACTTACTGTGATATTTATTTACAGCTATTTCATTATATCCTTCCAATCAAGGGCGTTAATCGCAAGTTAAATACCGCCCGACTTGGCGTCGATTAAGTCCCCACTCCATGCAAAATTGAACATCTTACGTTTTGTTCTGTCGTTGATGGTTTGTCGTACTCTCATTACTATTCTAGTGTCAATTTTATTCGTACAGCCACTCTACCGACCGGCACAATAGACGCTATTGTTGTACTAAACCTGGTCTACAAGGAAGCAATGCTTGATGTATATAAATCAATATGGATTGTTTTCAAAAAGCTAATGTTAATAGTATATCGTACAATTCTTAATTTAGATTGGTTTAATCGTTTATTTGTAAAACTACTAAAACATCTATTGATTTTTGCTAACACATTAATTAATAAGGAATGATTACTTAATACCAAGATTATTTTGTGTTTTACCTTTATTTTTTCTGCTGTAGAATATAGGATACAACGCACATAATATGAAATATATTGGATATTTTCAAATGGCAAAAGAAGTGTACTTTAATTAAAGCACAGCTATTCTAAAATCAAAATTCTATGATCTTAAATGTTTATCTTTTTTGTGAAGTGCTAATGTTTGATGCAGTTTTATAATGCTTTACCTACTTTAGCGTGTAGTTTAACAATAAAAATGTAAGTACCGTGTTTTGTTGTGTTGAAACAATATGTAAATACAATTTTTAAATAAAGTCAATTTAAAAAGTTTTTTATTTACAATGCAAATATTTAAAAAAAAATTAATTATTTTATTTTAAGAATTTCAAACAGATGTTTATTTTCGTCATTTAAATAGTACAAACATTATAATAGAGTATGAGTTACAACATGTAATTTCTTAATCGACCCTGTTTCATATTGTAAAGTGCCAATACATCATAGACGAAGCTCATAACCTATAAGTTATTACACTAGGTGCAATTTAAGCAAAACATCCAAACTTTTTCTCCAAAGAACATAATTTAGAAGTTAGCCTGAGGTACGCAGAACAGTAAAAAGTCTTAAAAGTTACTTTTCATTTTTACTTTCAGTAAAAGATCATAATATGAAATCGGTTTCTAATATCAACCAATTAAGCCTCTACATAAAAATCGGTAGTGTCCTTTGTCAGTGTATAACTGATACGTGGGTCGACCTTCAACATCTGACACAGTTTCGTGGTACGAACCCAGTTGACGGCGGTGCACGTATCGCTGTCACGATGTCGTTGACACTGATACATGCAGGCCAAGGCGTTGGTCGTGGTGGTTGTGAGAATAGGGTTAATTGATAAGGAGGAGTTTCTAGAAACTTTGAAGTAGTAGTCTCTGTGGGATGCGTAGCTGACCATCACTTTCACCTCACAAATATTTATAACGTCTGAGCCAAATCTGTTAGAAATTGTATGTATATATATATATATATATATATATATATATATATATATATATATATATATATATATATATATATATATATATATATATATATATATATATATATATATATATATATATATATATATAAACATGGGTTAGGTACTGCGAAATGGAATACGCTCAACGAAAACGAACCTGGTGAATCGAACAAATCTCCCCAATAACGGATTGGTACAGTTCTTTGTGAGCACCTCCCCAATGCCCAGTGATTCTGTTCTTGCGTAGCACACAGCGCCAGGCTCATTGGGGAAACCTCCAGACAACCTTGGGTCAGTTTTAAACACGTCGAATTGGAAAGTCTGTGTTCTAAGTGATGAGTTAAGATCGTCACCCCTGTAACGGTTAAGGACGTTATTGAGAATTAATATGTATTTGTGACAGGACAAATGATCTCAGACACAATATCCCAGACAAAAAAAAATCTCATGAACAAATTATCTCAGGACAAATGATATTAGGACAAAATATATCAGGACAAATGATACCATGGACAAATGATCTCAGACAAAATATTTCCGACAAAATATTTCAGAGATAATATCTCAGACAAAATATCTAATATTATTTTATTTAGGAGATTTTAGTCAATGTTAAAATTGTATTTTAATTGTCAAATGAATTTTATTTGCTTTTTTTTTACACATAATAATTGTAAAATATACTAAATGAATTAGTTAAACTCCACATTTTAAAACGTATTTTATATGTTCTGAAGGTTAAATCTGACTTTTTAAAAGCTTTTTGCGAGGATGTAATTAGAGGTTATAGCTGGGTAATCACCAGTAATACTACTTTGTTTGCATGCACACTATCATTAACATTCCTTCGCAATGACCACTGTCGTTGATATTAGCATTTGTTACGTGTGACCGAAATATCACTATTGACTTAAGATTATTTTTGTTTTGGGCGGATGTCTTCTATCATAGGGCATGTGTCCGCCAACAAAGCGAGTGGCCACCTTGCTGCATAAGTGTGTTTTCATAGCCCCATCATCAATAGATGAGCTAACCCTTTGATGTAGTTACGTTTACTTAATACGGTAGGATTGTCTCATGTCCGGCAAGCCGACCTACACTGTTTATCGAAACTTAGTTTAGATCTACCAATACTATATTTATAATTGTAATTTTAATATGATTATTGTTATGTGACCAACCTATGCGACTAAACTTTTCTCACATTATTATGTGTAAAAAAATAAAAATAAAAAACCAAATGACAATAGTTTTTTAAAATGTAAAACAAGTTAATAAAAAGTCTAGTGACAATTTAAGCGCAATTTCCTTATGTTATCCATAACAATTTTTAATTTTTTGTGACCGAACGAAAGGATATTTTTTTGCGCTAAAAAAAAGACAACTATATTAACCTATATCAACGGAAATAGTTTTATTTTAACGAGTAGGCCTACAAGATGCTCAGTTTAAAAAAGTAGTAAATATCATCCTAGGCCTACACGATGCTCAGTTTAAACAAGACGTATAATGCTGGGGTGCGTTTAAGCTAGGAGAACGATCGGTTTGTAGGTGTTCAACACTAATAATTAAGAACGAAGAAGAAGAAGAGAAGATTGGTAAATGTTTCAAGTCGCTAATATATGCCGAGATACGGGCAAAAAACTGCATTTTGTCGAGTTTTTTTGGCTTTTCCGGGAAATCCAGGAAGGAATTCCGGGAATTTTTTTGGCCCACAATCATCCTCGGAACTTGTTTAACATATTTGCTTTTGAAACTAGTCCTCGATATTGCTACGTTGTGGAGGAAATACGACTTAAAGCTGGGGACACACATCCATCCAGAAATGACGAGTTAATAATCGCAATTGTCCGTATGGAAATTGCGCTAAAAATATTTAGCTGTGAGAATTTTTGTCTAAGATTTTTTGTCTGAGATCATTTGTCCTGATATCATTTGTCCGTGAGATATTTTGTCTGGGATGTTTTGTCTAAGATCATTTGTTCTCAGACCATTTGTCATGGAATCATATATATATATATATATATATATATATATATATATATATATATATATATATATATATTATAATTAGCAGCCTGCAATACTATCATAATTTCAAAGCAGTAATAGTTTTAGTTTCGACAGATGTCGGTAAACTATTTTGCAAAAAAAAAGATATATGGTAGTAATTCAATGAATAGAAATTAAAGTCGAATGTTTGTTTAAATGGTATTAAATACCTGTTGATTAGAACAATCTGCTCCACACTGTAGAGTCCTCTCAGATCCACCATCCACCAGCCTGGGTTACACACATTTGTATGAATGCAGTGCATGCTACTTAAACTCACATCGTCATAGCCGTCGTTCGCTAAATTTGCCGGATAAGAAGGTATGAATGGATATTCTGAGCATTGGTAAGCTGGTTTGTATAGCGCTGCGTTAAAGAAACTCTCAGACACCCAACACATGCATATCATGAAAAGAACAAATATCAAGAACAAGCGCGACATTTTACCTAAACACTGCCTGCTCAATGAAACGAAGTGCGGAACTAATCTTCCTTGTAAATTACGGAGTGACCGTTAAGTAGCGCAGTCGAGCCCCTTCTTAAATTCATATAAATATAAACAAATAAACAAATAAACAAACAAATAAACAAACTAAATTAGTTAATTAATTAAAAAAATATTTAAAAAGTAAGTGAGTAAATAAATAAGTAAGTAAGTAAGTAAATACAGAAATAAATAAATAATATCATAATATTTATTTTACATAAGTTTAGTACTATCAACTAGGGATACAAATTACTTACCCAGATTACTTAAAATTGTTTTAGTCATCCTTTTCTTTTCGCTCATTTTCTTTTATATAAGAGACATTTTAATAATGACATTAAGGTTATACCGAAAACCAAACATCGTCTTAAATTACTTGTTTTCAATTATATTAAAAAAAAAATTGTGAATATTTTATAATTTATGACTTTTGTAGACAACAATCATAATTATTTGGTTCGTACATAACTTTAGATATTTCCAAATCTAGAATTCATTACATAAACAGAAATGGTAAAATAAATAGCACAATACCTTTTCATTGAAGGAAATGCACCATGACGTAACTAAAACGAAAAGCTTTACATTTTATCTCGACGAAATGGAACTACGTATACGTGTTCTAAATGATTGGCTGAACGCTCGAGTGAAGCAATTGAATTAAAGGAGGAAATGAAAGAATACTAAAAATATATACAAAACAATATGTTTTACATGTCTGCATCAATATTTAAGTTAAAATTAATATATTGCAGTTATTAGTTACACGTTTGTGAATTAACCTTCGCACATGACTTGTCCATCCACTGTATAGTTTTTGTGTCCAATAAAGCATGTACATCTATAACCTCCATCTGTGTTTGAACAATTTTGTTGGCAACCGTTCAGTGTTTTATTGGAGCATTCATCAATGTCTGTGAGAACACATTCGATCAATAAATTGCATAAGCCTATATGCTTACTTAGTTCTCTAGAAAACAGAGTGACACAGAATATTGTAGCTTTGGGAAAAGGGCTGAATATATTTTAGAGGATGGAGTTATGAAAGTGCTGCATCTCCCACACATACTCGAAATTGCGTCACTCGGTTCCGATTTCTATTCTCCCCATATATGACCTTTATTGCAAGCAAAATGAAATTTATATTTACACGATGTAAGTATTTATGATATCTTGTTGCAACACTATTTTGAAGAGTGCCTTGTCTTAAATGTACTTAATTTTCGCACCATTGTAAAAACATCAAAGCAAGCTGAGGTATTTTCTAAAGTACCTCTTTCAGTTAACCATTTAAAAAAACATGTAGGCTCTATTTATATTGTGACTTTACTGCTTTTAGTGGTCGGGTGTATATCAATATGTATATTAATAAGTTATTTATATATTTTAAATTTATCTCAGCTGTTTAGCACATCAACAGTTTGAATGGTTTCAATATAATATGAGCTACAAAACACACACACACACACATATATATATGTATATATATATATATATATATATATATATATATATATATATATATATATATATATATATATATATATATATATATATATATACATATATATATATATATATATATACATATATATATACATATATATATATATATATATATATATATATATATATATATATATATATATATATATATATATATATATATATTCTTTAGTTCTGCTATAAGGTTAAGCAAGTATTTAAACCGACAGAAGTTAAAAAAAAAATGATCAATAAATTAAAGTTTGGATTAAGATTTAAAAAAAAATTACGAGTTTAAAATGTATTCTAAACTTTGTTGCTTGACAACCCAACCTACCAGTGTAACTTATTGTCACTAAAGTCAAAACCCATCCTACTATGTGCGGAATGTCGATAATTGACATTCCCTTACCCGCAATTAAAATCATCAAGAAGATCGTACAATATATTTTCTAAGTGTGCTACAGTCTGTGCTGTCTATTAAAATGTACTAACTTTAATGTGTATGTAGCACCTCAAAAGAAATTAACTATAATGAGTATCAAGTAAACATTTACCTTTACACATTACCTGCCCGTCCACTACCTGGGACAGGTAGCCTTCAAAACACGAACAGGTATAACTCTCGTATGTGTCGGTACATGCTTGTTGACAATCGTTCAATGTTGCATTTGCACATTCATCTATGACTGAAAAATACGTTTCAAGTTTAATTTATAAAGGTGTTTGAAAAACGGCATAATTTTTTGGTGTGAATTAATGAAATGATAAAAAATAATAGTGGGTCTATACATATTTATGTGTGTTTATTGCCTCATGTTTTGATTGGAACTATGATTAACCTACAAATTAAGCCGTTATATTCCTTAATTATGTTATTTTTCCAATTCGGAATTTTATTTTTCGCTCAAAGGATTGAATGTTCAAAACATAGTAGCTTAACAATTCTTGAAAACTAGGACTAGATTTAAAAATATAAGCGTTCAGGTAAAGGTAAATGCAATAATAACAAAATGTTAACACAATCTAGCTAGATCGAGTAATTTTGATATGGATATCTCGAGTGAACACAAAGGTATATGTGCGCTGATTAATGATGTCTTACACTTATAAATATTTTACCACTTCAATTGTCTGTTCATTTGTTTATCTCGTTGAACTATGTGTGTAAAAATTGCATGTAGGGCCTATATATACTTAAAATTAATATAAAAGATCGCCATCCAATAAAAATTACAACAATTCTATTAACAAGAATATACGACTAAAATTACATCGTATCACAACACATGAAAACTTAACACAATGCAGACATTAATTTCACGGACACACTGTCCAGGTGTGAAATTTCGATATTGCTGAACACCAGAATCTGTTTTTAAATGTTGTTTCCTTATTTCAGTTTATGTCATACTTTCATTATTTTAGTTCAAATCAACTCGATAATAAATGTCCTAATCACATACTATATTTCAAATATTATTCTATAATGATACTATAATCTCATATGCATAGAAACAGTAAGGTCACGGCAGAAATTCGACTGTGTACACATTCGTAAAATATTTCAATCCTGTGTCTCTAAAAAACTTTGATAAAAAATAAGGGCACCAACAGTAACACAGTCATCGATTTCACAAGCCAAACAAAAGTGCAACATGTACATAGTACATCAAGTAACTAGATTTCAATCGTACTGGAATTCTCTGCTAGTATTAAGGAAAGGTAGAAACAATATGAGAATCGCAGCGAGTTCATCCTAACTTACAACTTACACATTTTTCCTTACCTATGTCTAGTAGGATTACAAGTTTTATACATAAAGGATACAAAAATTGCTCAGTTATATTAGTGTGAACAATTCTTACTTTGAAGATATATAATATAGATATATAAACTTAACCAGGATAAAAAGAAGAACCTAAAAAATGCTGGAATCTAGCAAACATCAATGTCTAGTTAAAACGAAACAAGTGTCAGTAAAACCAGAAAAAGCAACACAGGTATGTACTGACTAATGGATCTTGGAGTAAAATTTAAAATGCTTGATAAGAACGCACATTTATTTGAGAATAAATGAAATTATTTCACCAAAAATAGTTTCATTACCAGCAGCAGCTACTGCCTAATGTTAAATTATAATTGTGATGACTTTAATTACAATGTTTATTAACAATGTTTAACTACAACGAAACACATATAAAATCTACTTACAAATGACCATTTCGCAAATGAAGGACCACTGTTCAAAACATGAGGTGTCAACCCAGTCAGCATACCGAAGCAGAGCGCAGTTTTCACTTAATCCACCTCCAGGTTCACCTACATAAATAAAACTAAAATGACGACTGCCAGAAACCGAGTTATTTCATAGAAAAGTCTCGAATTCGCTTCCATATGTAACGGATAGGTGACAATTGCCAAGATAATAACTCAAGAACTGCATATGTGACAGAAACAAATTCAGGTAGGATACTTTACTTTCCTAGGGTTATTTATCACCCAAAAAAATAATATGTTAAACTATATTTAAACTGAAATTCTATATAATATACTTACATATATTAATATTTCTATCTCTAACCAAATAAAGGGTAGATGTATATGAGTATATGTTATATATATATATATATATATTTGTATATATAAATATATATATATATATATATATATATATATATATATATATATATATATATATATATTTGTGTATATATATATTTGTGTATATATATATATATATATATATATATATATATATATATATATATATATATATATATATATATATATATATATATATATATATTTGTGTATATATATATATATATATATATATATATATATATATATATATACACAAATATATATATATATATATATATATATATATATATATATATATATATATATATATATATATATATATATATATATATATGTGTGTGTCTGTGTGTAATTGTGAGTATATCTACGTGTGAGTCTGTGTTTGTGTCCATGTGTGTACGTGCTGTGTATCTGTGTTTGTGTGTCTGTGCCTACGGCTACTGGTACGGGCACAGCCATAGACATAGACACGGGCATGTACATGGGCATGGGCTTGGGCATGGGTATGGGCATGGGTATAGGTATGGTTATGGGTATGGGTATGGGTATGGTTATGGGTATGGGTATGGTGTGGGTATGGTGTGGGTGTGGGTGTGGGTATGGCGTGGGTGTGAGTGTGGGTGTGGGTATGGTGTGGGTGTGGGTATGTTGTGGGTGTGAGTGTGGGTATAGTGTGGGTGTAGGTATGGGTGTGGGTATGGTGTGGGTGTGAGTATGGTGTGGGTGTGGGTATGGGTGTGGTGCGGGTTTGGGTGCGGGTGTGGCTGTGGGTGTGGATATGGTGTGGGTGTGGGTATGTTGTGGGTGTGAGTGTGGGTGTGGGTATGGGTATGGTGTGGGTGTGGGTATGTTGTGGGTGTGAGTGTGGGTATGGTGTGGGTGTGGGTATGGTGTGGGTGTGGGTGTGGGTATGGTGTGGGTGTGGGTGTGGTGTGGGTGTGGTGTGGGTGTGGGTGTGGGTGTGGGTGTGGGTGTGGGTTTGGGTGTGGGTGTGGGTTCGGGTGTGGGTATGGGTATGGGTATGGGTATGGGTATGGGTATGGGTATGGGTATGGGTATGGGTATGGGTATGGGTATGGTGTGGGTGTGGGTATGGGTATGGTGTGGGTGTGGGTATGGGTATGATATGGGTATGGACATGGATATCAATAAAACAAAAACGTACCATATCCCCATAATGTGAATGTATATGGTGCTCCATCTAACCATTTCCATTCACCTTCCTGTTGTTCATCAGTCAATCCAATCCAAGCATGGTAATTGATTGCTCTGTACTGACCTGAGCAATTGATAAACATCAAATAACTATATCGTCTAAATTTCAAGTTGAATAATAATTTACATGTAAAACTGAAAGTTACGTTTAAAAAGGAATCGATTAAATGTTTTTAATATTGCTAAGATAATTTATTTCTGAACATGCCTATCAATTCACACAAAACATCAGAATGTATTTTGACAGAAGCTAAGTGTGTAAGAATAAATTTCAGTGTCCGTTTAAGTTAAAACTAGTTACTAAAAATATAGTCGCTCTCATCTTGTGATGTGATGGTAACTAAACTTCCGTTGTTTGCCAAGCAAATATTCTGAGCTTCACGCATGGTTACACGCATGGATACATAAGAATAGTAGACATCTGTTCCGTTTCTTCTCTGCCACGTAAATGTTGAGGCTGAAAGACAAATGGAAAAAGTAATGCCAACGGCTTAGAATACCCTTAAATCTAAGATTAAACATTTTAATGTATACTTTTCTAAAACTTGGTAGATTAAGCCCAGACACCACACATGTTTCGACAGTTTAAATTTTTTCTACTAGTATGGGTTTAACATTAATTCTGATAGTAATACCATTTAGCTATCTAACCTTAACGTTTCCAACCTCTACAGCCAACGGTAATCCGTTTATTGCGATGTGAAACATGGCACCGCCCATCAAATTTTCACACTACTACGCGGACAGCGGCTATCTTCGAACGTGTGCTACGTGATCTGTTGCCAACGAGGCAACGTAAAGTATACAGCAACCTATCGGCCATGCACTTGTGTACACGCTGATGTAGCGACCTTTATTTTGTTCTACAAATAAGTGGGATAAACGTTGTTTTCTACCAAGTAAAATTTGATGTCAAACTCCATATAATTGCATGCGCGTAAAAATAATGAATCTGAAGAGATTCAATGATACGTTTGACCAATCATACAAAAGTACAGTAAATCATAATAATCTACGATAGGTTGCAACTAAACACCTGTGCTAAGCAGCCATCTTGTTTCTAGACTAACAAAACAATCGCCTGTCTCGTTTGTTTACTTCATTTGCGTAGTATAATCTTCTATTTGTTGTTTTAAAGTTATAAAACAACATTAAGTTTAATAATTGAAACTTTGCCTAGAAATCTACTTTTGATTGTCACTGGAACACTATTAAACACTGTTTCGTACGCTTTATACTAAGCTTAAACAATGCGTCATGTACATGTCTGTCTGTTTAAAGAATGTACTGTTCATCCCGTTTATCCCCCTCATCCCCTTCTCGCCATTCAACCAACGGCCGGTTTATAATCTTGTTAAGGCATGCTGTGATAGGCTTGAACGCGTTCATCAGGCTTTACATCGCACTGTATACGACACATAAGTTAATGTGTATGCCAATCTCTCCGCATATGGTTTGCTAGCAACGAATGTAAATACGAGATGGGACAGCTGATAAATATTCACTTAGGCCCTGTACTTGACCCTATCTACACAGATGTGTTATTCACGGTTGATTGAACATTGGTAATCTATGGCTGATCGGTTCTTCACGCTCTTTCCAGCGATGGGGTGGGATGGAGGGGCGTGTCTAGCCTCAAGCGTTGTACCCAGTGTCGTGTAGTAGGCTATTATCAGAAGGCAATAAACTTGCGTAAGCTACAATTTAAGTAGGGATAGACATTGTATAGAAGTGAAAAGACCGGCTAACAAACAAAACTTAATCTGGTTTGATGATAGTTGTTCTGTGAATAACAATCAAATGATAGGATGTGTAAGACTTAATAGTCATTAATTAATTTCCTGTTGTATACATATTTTCTGCTTACACAGAAAAATCTATCTAAAACAACATAAATCAACGCGTATTGCATTAGCCAAATGGTTCTTACACACATAAAAAGAAGTCCTTTTCTGTTTTCTATAAGAGGAAACGCACAGTGCCTTTTTCCGCCTTTCTTTTCACGTTTTCTCAACTTTGCATTTTTACTCAAAATTCAACATTCAAATCGCTAAGGCTTTAAAAACCCTTTGTCATACAAGTTTGAATCATTTCACATCCATTAAGCATTATACCATCTACAAAACTACGTTTGTACATTAAGTTTACTACAATGCTCTAGAAAATATTGATATTTATGTGGCACCACCCCTTAATTTTTGTACATACATTTACATAATTTTTTTATTAAAAATTGAGTACGAGCTATCGCAATGAACAAACGTATAAATGAATAGTTTGGTTTGAGAAATCTAAATCTTTCATCCGCTTTTAAAAGTTTCTTATGGGAACAAAGTTTGAATAGGTGTTAGTTTTCACACCTTTTCGCGGTTTTCATAGCAACCAGTACTGCTATTTACGGCCATATATTATTTTTATCTATAGTTTAACAACTAATAACATATGAACTTATTGAACACCCAGAAATGTGTTAAATAAAAAAAAATTCTATCCGTGGTGCCTATCCTTAATCGATTGATTGGTTGGTTAGTTGATTGGTTAATTGATTCATTGATTCATTGATTGATTGCCTTATTGTTTAATTGCTTCATTGCTTGATTGGTTGGTTGATTAATTGGTTGTTTGTTTATTTGGTTGATATATTGATTATTTGATTCTTCAGCTGATTAATTAATTAATTAATTAATTAATTAATTAATTAATTAATTATTTACTTGATTGATTGATTGATTGATTGATTGATTGATTGATTGATTGATTGATTGATTGATTGATTGATTGATTGATTGATTGATTGATTGATTGATTGATTGATTGATTGATTGATTGATTGATTGTTTGATTGATTGCATCAAGCTGCATAAAAAACGAGATACATTTTTTATAAAAACGGTAATAACAATGGGAATTACTTCTCAAAACAAAGCTATGAAAATTTATTTCATCAGTTGTTTTTTTAAATTGCTTATTTCCCAAGCAGTCTGACTAACGTAAACCATCTACTACCCTGGGACCACCATTTGGTTGATTATTTGTTTATATAAATTGAAATATTTTAACTTACCAAATGTTCCCAGGTTGAGCATAATAAATAATATTAGGTACATTCTTGTAATTTGATATTTTCCTAGAAATAAAAATATGAAAAAGGCTAAAAATAATTTTATGCAATATACTGAAACATTAGCTATTGATTTTAAATAATTTTAAGAAATTCAACATTTCAATTCTTTGTCTGGTGCAGTAACAGACAGTTCGATTTTAAGCATAGTAAAAAACTTAGCAATGGCATCAAGATAAAAGATAGTTTGCAACTACGAAAAATATTGCGAATTGCAACATCCCAGAATGCTATAAAATGATATATATGTAATACTTTTTACATTTATGTGTTGTGTAATTTACTATCTTGATTGTGTGTTTAACTGTAGATTATACGTTTTATGTTATAAATATTTTCTTTTATTAAATACTGTTATAGATTGTACTTAAAGTGTATTTATTAGGAGTGAACACTGAGTGTGACAGTAGAATGCATGGCCAAACGGAAGTGACTGGATTCATCCGATTTTAAATATTTTTTCTCTGATTTTGCTCACAGAGTGTAGTGTGAGAATTAGACGGTATAAAATAAGGTGTGTAGTTGAGATGTTTGGGGTGTCATCTAAGATTAATGTAAGCTGGTACTACGTCCGTCGACAGAGAGAGATTATTTTTCAAGTATTTTGTATTAAGCATTATTTCCACTATGGATGTGATTACAATTTTAATGTTCAAACCAGAAAGGCTGATGCTTGATTTAGCATATATGAAGAACAAACAACCACTGTGTATCTCAATAATCACAAATTGTAACAATTGTGTCAAAAGTGGTTGTAATTTACAAATTCTAATCAGAAGCGTCTTCATTTACACGAAGTGATCTTTATTTACACGTCGTAAACTTGGAATCAAAAGTCGTTATGAATGCAAATTAAATAAACCGGGAGTGATCTCCCCTAAACTTTCTCGAATATTCTTATATAAAACAACAGGGGATGGGAACTAGGGCTATAGACATGATTTTTAATCCATTTTAAATACTTAAAGTTTTAAAAATAGAATAAAATCTCGTAGACAAAAGAATTGCACACCAAGTGAACGCGAAATAAAAAACCGGGAGTGATCTCCCCTAAACTTTCTGGAATATTCTAATATAACACTACGGGGGATGGCAACTCGGGATATAGACTTCTAGACATGATTTTAATCCATTTTAAATACTCAAATTTTTAAAAATAGAATATAATCTAGTAGAAAAAAGAAATGCACAACAAGTGAACGCTAAATAAAGATGTGCATAATAGTGCGCAATATTATTAGTACTTTATAAATTTAAATGCGTTTTTTGAGAAATCGGAAATAGCGTAACTAAGTACTTCCGGTGAACGGAAATTACTCAAAATTTGACAGAAGGTGGAGAATTATATCTTTTATTTACATATCAATAATTCATTTATCTATCTGAAATAGTACTCAAGTTATAGGCTTTTGAAAAATTCAAAGTAGAAAAAGTACCACTTCCGGTTATCAGAAATCGCTCACAAGGTGATACGGATCTACGATTTTGATAAAAATACTTATATATGAAATTTCATCAACCTAGCTGTAACGGTACTCAAGTTATCATGTTTACACATGGACACACACACACACACAGACAGCAGACGGACAGACAGACACACAGACATACGGACAAGATTGCAAAATTATGTTTTTTCGTATCATTGAGGTGTAAAACGTCGAGATTTGTAAAAATCTCAATTTTTTTTTTTGCACGATTACAAGACTTTCTCTATAGGCTACTTTGTATATACGAGAAAGTAAAAAACATTCATGAATTCATTAATGAGTTAAAACGCCAAATCTCCCCTAAACTTTCTCGAATATTCTTTTATAAAATAACAGGGGATAGGAACTCGGGCTATAGACATGATTTTTAATTCATTTTAAATACTTAAAGTTTTAAAAATAGAATAAAATCTCGTAGACAAATTAATTGCACACCAAGTGAACGCCAAATAAAAAAGCGCATAATAGTGCGCAATATTATTAGTACTTTTAAAATTTACATTAGTTTTTTGAGAAATCGGAAGTAGCGTAAAGTACTACTTCCAGTCAACGGAAATTACTCAAAATTTAACAGAAGATATAGAATTAGATCTTTTACTTACATGTGAAATTTCATGTATCTATCTGAAATAGTACTCAAGTTATAGGCTTTTGAAAAATTCAAAGTAGGAAAAGTACCACTTCCGGTTATCGGAAATCGCTCTAAAGTTGATACGGATCTACGATTTTGATAAAATACTTATATATGAAATTTCATCAACCTAGCTGTAACGGTACTCAAGTTATCGTGTTTACACACGGACAGACAGACAGACAGACACACAGACACACAGACATACGGACAAGATTGCAAAATTATGTTTTTCCGTATCAGTGAGGTGTAAAACGTCGAGATTTGTAAAAATCTCGTAATACAAATCTCGATTTTTTTTTTGCACGATTACAAGACTTTCTCTATACTTCGTATATACGAGAAAGTAAAAAGGAGAGAATAAAAGGTCAGCTAAATAAAAGAATAAACAGTGGATTGGTTTGGTGAGGTCGTTATCAAGAGTGCAGGAAACAACAATCAAATGTTTTTATTGCGATAAAAGAGGACTCATGAAATCTAAAAGTTGGTACAGATTGGCTGATCAAAAAAGAGACAGCAATTCAAATAGACCTATAGGCCTATTTAGTACACATAAAAATAGCAAGAATTTCAAAAGGCGTGTATCTCAAGAATGCAACAAAAACTATAAACAGAAGTCAAAATAACAAATTTATATACACTATAAAAAATTATGAGAGACTTAGAAACAGTAATAACGTATGTATTAAATTGGTTTATATACCAAGTAAGCAGACACAAAGGTAGTAAACTGCTAGCGTAGATCAGAAACCTACGCAGAACGACATGGTACAGATCGACAATTAAAATGGTGCTAATAGAGGAGCAAAACTCTACATCAACTAAATAAACGAAGACAGGCAAAATAAATTAAGTAAATTGTGACAGTATGCTAACTAGAAGCTTTACGTACAATACAAGGGAGAGATAGCAATAAGGTCATGAACTATATAAGGGTTAAAACAAACGTAATTGATTCAGATATTTATTGTTTGTATAAATATGAAAGCATTATGCAATACAAGTTGAAGAATGTTTACGATAAATACTTTAAATAACTTATGTAAACAGGTATACACTTGAGAACTATTATATCACATATAAATATAAGCAGGAAGTCTTAATACATGACTGAAATATATGTTTTATAGCCTGTCAATCGCAGGAATGTAATAATGTGTTGTGACCCAGATTCATTGTATGTGGGTCTCCAACCGAGACGGAGAAAAAAAATTAATCAATCGTGAAAATAGAATACTTGACGTTGAAATGTGTGTGTGTGTGTGTTTGTGTGTGTGTGTGTGTGTGGAGGGGGGATGACTAAGCTATCCCTATTTTCAAAACCTTATGAGATGAATTTTGTTTGAAGTTGATTTGTAAAATTATTTGATACATATGAAGATGAGTCCTGTGTCATATAGGATGAATGGCATGTTGCAATTTTACATTTTACTTCAATCAATTGGTAATTAAACTGTTTTCTTATTAATATATTATTTCGTCACACTCGATGCAGTTGTATATTAAAAATAATTTTAAACTGACACATTTTACTCATCAGTTTTTAATTAATGTTGATTTTTTAAGGTTCAGTATATGAACAAATTGTTCCACTGTCGAATAAAATTTCGGAAAATATCGAGACTAATATCTGGTCTTATCATCTTGTCACATGTGTTTTTACACATTTTGTTATTATGTGCGATTCACCACACATAGGCTATGTGCATTTTTTCTTCACTCTAAATTTGATGACCACAACTCAATAGTTTAAACTGAATGTTTTTTCCCGCTCCAGTAGTGTGAGCTGCAAGATTTGTATTTTCTGGCGCAAGATCCCGAAAAAATTGGTGCATAAAATGAAACTTAAAGGGGGGACATGTGGATGTACTTAAATATTTTTTTTTTGTTTTGAGTGAATATTCTGTTACAGTGGAATGTATTGCCAACGGAAAAAAGTGGGTGAGCAATTATTTATGTTTTATTCGTTTCTCTGATTGCGCTCACTGAGTGTAGTGTAAGAACACGACAATATGTATAGTGTGTGATTTCCGTGTTTGGAGTGTCATATAAGGTGTGTAATTGAGATTGTCTGGTTGTCATTTGAGATGAATGTAAGCTGGACATTCGTCCATCGACTGTAAGAACGAATGTAAGTACGCTGCTATCGAGTATGTATTCTGTATCGAACATTATTTCTATTATGTACCGAGTTTATTCAATTTATTGTAAACATACACATTTAAAGTTCAAACTAGAAAGTCTTATGTTTGATTTATCTTCTAAAATGTTTTCACGATGTTAACCTTAGTCTAAAGGCTGTCAAAGGTTTTATTGTACCCTCTAGACTTTCAAAATACACACACGAGCACATAATAAAAAAAAGTCCTAGATATGTTTTCCAACACTTAATAACACTGAATCAACATACCTCAACGGGATTTTCACATTTAAACTGCCAGTATTTATTTAACTATAGCAGCATACTAACTGTAAACACAGCTTCCAGTCTACAGGTACACAAAACAACCGTTATATAACACGCAGGCTTATAGACACGACAAATCGTATCCAGCTTATAAATAGCCTTTGTACCATCAAGTAAGTAGGTCTCAATACCGTACACTACGTGTTCAGTCGTGTAACATAATAGGTTTTAAGCTTTCCTAAAGGTTGAATTAGCATTATTTCGAGTAGTAATTCTTATAAGCAGCATATTTTCTTTTCTGAATTAAAACAGTGTTGCTTTTCTAGTTTAAAAAATGCTCTTGTTTTCTAAATTCATTTCTAATATATAAAGCTCAATTCTGTATGTAACATGTAATAAGTTTGTCGTTGACATACTTGGATGGATTTAAGTGTTAGATTATTATCGTGCTCATAGTCTAAATTTATGAGTAAAAAATTACTATTGAAAGTGTTGGGAAATAATTTTCATTTTTCAAACTGATAGTAATAATTGTCGGCATGTTCGTTAAACACAATTTAAAAAAAATATCATCTTTTACAAAAACTCTAATTATGTCTGAAAATTATTTATATTTAGTCCTTTAGCACTTACTTCCCTTTGATAAATTAGGAGACACAATTACTTCCCTTTATAAAACATTGCATTAGTGGAAAAGAATTTACTTTTTATTACTTTGTTTTGGTGTTGGGAAAAAAATAATTACATAATTATCGGGGATTGATCAAGTGCAAATGTTGTAGTTATTTTAAGGATAAGCTTGGAGTATTATAATTGTTCATTTGGTTTGATTTGGCACCTACGTTCTTTTAAGTGAGTGCAAAAGACTATGAATAAGTTAGGGTACTATAGTCGTTTATTAAGGTGAAACAGGCGATTCTGCCCCGGGCTAGACTGTGAGCACTTTGCGTTTATGTTCGCGTTTGTGTTTTCTTTGTGTTTAGGTTGGGTTTAGTGGTTGCGTTTTGATTTGGTTCGTTTTTGTTCTTTCTTTTTTCGTTTTCGTTTGTGTTTTTTTTCTTTGGGTTTGTATTTGTGTTTGTGGTTGGTTTTGCGTTTGGATTTGGTTTGTTTTCGTTTGCTTTTTCGTTTTTTTTCTTTGTGTTCGTATTGGTGTTTGTGGTTGTGGTTGGGTTTGTTGTTAGGTTTTTGTTTTCGTTTGTATTTGTTATTGTGTTAGCGTTATGTTTGCGTTTTGTTGTTTAGCTTTTGGTTGGTTTTGGTTTGGGTGGGCAATGCCGGTTTTATGATAATTAATAAACACACAGGTAATGGTCTTTAACAGAAAGGTTTTTCACAGAAGCCAGAGCAGGGCCTGGCCGGGACGGCTAGTATCTCTATACATGTATCATTTCAAACTATTAATTAAACATCACACTAATGTGACGCATTTCAGATCAAATATGTTTAGCGTTCATAGTTCTAAAGTGGCGTCTAAATTAGAATAATTTAGTAACTATAGCATCAATCAATTTAATTAGTGGGCGCGTGGTCAGGAGTGAGATCGTATGATTACTAACACCGCACAGTTTTCACTCGTCCCACCATCAATCTGGTTCATCTTAAAATTTTTAAAGATCTTTAAAGTTAATATTCACGGGATATTTTAATACGATACAATTCTAACGGCATAACAGACTAAATAAATATAGGCTAACAAGCTGTTAACACTCACATAGGGACCATATTTCGTATACAACAGTTGTTCCAACAAGCCATACCCAATTTCCTTCGTGAACTTCATCAGTGAATGCAATCCAGGAGTAATCATGGTTGCATTCGTATTTAGCTAATTAAGGTAATTTTTAAAATATCAAACAGATAATTAGCAAATGCCAAAGTAAACATATTTTTAAAAATGCTATTCATACTTTTTTAAACATGCGAATGAAATCATACAGGAATCGTTGTGGCCACCGTATTAAACTGGGTTTTTTTCAGTATCATATGATTAATATAGTGCTTTTACAAGTTTTTATTTAAATTGCTTCTTCTGTCGTCAGTCGTCAGTCATTGTAGATCAAAACGCTCGAGCGAAATATCGGTCACTTCTAACTGACAGATTCGGTTTAAAGTTGGCACGTCGGTAAAGACAAGTAGCCTAGACAATGCAATCTGACATTAAATTCGACTTCCTTGGATGCCTAATTAGCTTTTTATTTAATAATTTATTTGTGTCCAAATTACTAGGCTGTATTATCCAACTATTCGGCATTATTATACGTGCGTTATCATGTTCATTGGGTCCGCAATAGTTTTTAGTCATGCAACTCTATTGTAAATTTAAAGGAAAAATAAGTACTAAATAGAAATTTAAAAAAAAACACGTTTTAATAACAAGCTTTTATGTAATCATGCACTAAAGAGTAGAAAATAAATTATGCACTACTATTTAACACTTTATCTACTGACGGTACTTATACGTACCACTTTAATTAAGTGCATGTATTATTTTTAATTTAATACGAATTTTAATAATTATTGAAGTAATTAATAGTATTATCTCCCCTGAATAGCCGGTAGTTAGAGGGATTGATGTTTTTTGAAAATTACTGGTGTGGCGCCATTTTCAATATCTTGCTATATCGGTAGTTCACAATTTTTCTGTACATTTCTCACACACGTTCTAGATTTTCCTTTGTTTTACCTTATTTTTCAAGTTTTCAACTTTAACATCTAGTTATACAATTTTAATCAAATTGTCTTTGTATTAGATCGATGTTTACAAGTGTACTTATAAGTACCGTCATGGCACACGGTCATGTTTTTGCATTTTTGTAGTATATATATATATATATATATATATATATATATATATATATATATATATATATATATATGTATATATATATATATATATATATATATATATATATATATATATATATATATATATATATATATATATATATATATATATGTATGTATTTTGCGGTCAAACTGCAAACGGCGTACTTTGGCGTACTTAATTACAGTACTTCACGGGAATGGAGCAATATATCTATAACATAAAATTATTTTGTTCTCAGCCCACAATTTTTATATATATATATATATATATATATATATATATATATATATATATATATATATATATATATATATATATGGTTCCATGACAAATGATCTCATGAGAAATGATCTCAGGACAAATGATCTCAAGGACAAATGATCTCACGGACAAAAGATACCAGGACAAAATATATCAGGACAAATGATACCATGGACAAATGATTTCAGACAAAATATCTCAGACAAAATATCTCACAGCAACATTTTAATAGTATATACGATAATTTTAGTTGATTTGAACACTTTTTTTTATTACTGTAATGTAGTTTATTTCTTTTTACTTTTTTTACACAAAATAATTGTAAATAAAAGGAATTGGTTAGACTTAACAAAACATCTAAAAATTTATCTAACTTTATCTTTGTTATAGCATTTGATTTGAAAACGTAAAAATTAAAACAAACTTACTGCTTTAGTTTGAAAGTTATAATAAATGATAATGTATAAAACAAATACAGTAACGACAGCTATGCAACATTAATGTTCAAAACACGCGATATATATTTCAAACATGTGATTTGGTCTTCATGTTCATAACGTAAAACCATTGTTTTTATTGCATCGACAACTTAAACATGATCACACCTCTCCAATACTCTGGGATCATGTATTGTATGAACTCTTGCTCGACATGTTCTAACTTCACATTTCCAAATCACTTTATCTGCTGCACCACTTATGGTTTTTACAAACAGAAATTCGACAGAAACGAATTTCCTATAACCTTTCTGCGATGTAACCATAGAGGCCACATCTGATTTATTGATTTATTCATTGGTAGATTAACCACATTAATTCTAAAAGTTCAGAACAATGACTTTACTTAGAGTGAATAATGACGTCACATAATTTATTTACTTTTTACATCAACAATGTCTTCATATTATGAAGGGATTTTGTGGTCAAAGACATGCTCGGGCGGAATCGTTTTTTTTTAAACAATAAAAACATGTTGTTTGAGACTTGGTGGGACACTGGGCAGGGGAAGTAGAGTTGAGTAGTTCACCTGTGACGTCAGTACATGAAGGGATAGTGTGATCAGACCCATTTTCAGCAGAAATCGGTGTTTTTAAAAGATAAAAAAACGTCTTTATGAATGTTGGGTCTGGCTATTTTGTGATGATGAGTGACAAACGTGATGCCATTTATGTTTGACCCCCGGAACCCACAGTTATCTAACTAGTTAACAGGTAGTCTAGTATAATATTAAAAGTTAGCTGTGAGATATTTTGCCTGAGATATTTTGTCTGAGATCAATTGTCCATGGTATAATTTGTCCTGATATATTGTGTCCTGGTATTTTTTGTCCGTGAGATTATTTGTCCTTGATATCATTTGTCCTGAGATCATTTGTCCTATCCCCATATATATATATATATATATATATATATATATATATATATATATATATATATATATATATATATATATATATATATATATATATATATATATAATTAGTTGTCTGGTTTTTGTACGGTTTTGAGTTTGATCTTTGAATTTCGGATACTTTATTTGAATAAATAAAATTGCATTAAAGAATAAATATGGTAATCTTAACGCGCAGAAAGATTTATTATTGATTTTTCGTAGTTGGTTGTCGAAAGAACACTGTTGTCTTCAAATCAATGGGTATGAGGAAGTAAAACGTACAGCAGGGGGTTTATATCTGTAATGAAAAAAACTTAAGCTCTAGAATCCGCCAGCTATTGTCCTCACGTTATGAAAGGAAAATGTTTGAGGTACTGTAAACATTTGACTCATCACAAATAGCCTTAACCTCGTTTCCCACCAACCACTACAATGAAGTATGTTTAAATCTCCCTGACCTTTCCGCACTCTAAAATAACACATTTTTAAATTTATTAGCTTGCATTTTTAATAATTTTTAAGTTCAGCATATTCAAATTGTATTTTATATTATCTGAACTATGTGTATTTAACCCACTTTCCATTATCAGATTTAGTAGAAATATAGCACATTGGTAGATCTTGGATGACAATTCACGAATATTGAATTTTTGTTTAACTAGTAAGACATTTAGTCATAAAAATTTAATTGAAGTATTAAATATTCATTAATAAAAGGGGAGATAATAAGATTAAAAAAAATTACTAGAGATCCTTTGATCAGAGTTTCTTTCAGGCATCCGAACGAAATATAATTTATATAGAAAAATAAGTACTTTTAACAGTGTCCGCACCTCCCGGGAAATTTAGTCTGCCCTCCCCCCACACCTCCAAGAGAAAAAAATCTGAAAAAAAGCACTGATCAGATAGCCGTCGAGAGTGAACTATTTTCAGTTCACGGTTGACTGATTTCGTCGACAAGGGCAGGTAAATCAATTTCTAGAGATCATAAGCTACTTGACGAATTTTAACGTAATACGAGCTGACCCGCGACGTAGCATACGCCATTATTTAGTTGTTTTATTTTCTATTTTTCAGTAATTCATTTTTTGTAAATTCGACACAACCAATGCTTTGACTGAAAATATTTTGCTTTACAACACAATCAGTAGCTCGTGAAGGACGATTATCCTCAATCTCACTTTCCATTCCTTTCCCCCACCCCCTCCCCCCGTGAATGCAGCCGTCTGTGGCTACAGTTTACAGACGACAATAAAAAGATAATTTGTTATTACCTCCCCTTAGTTTCAAATCGTTACAAAATCTAAATTATCTGCCCCTACTAGTCATTACTAATTCAACCCGGCTCTTCGACTGTAAACAGCTCACCAGACTAGTGTGGTGGGGGTGGTAGCGATATGCTCTATTGAGCATGCCTGGAAAGCGACAGAGGGGGACGTTCGGGGTGCGTTGACGTCTTGTCCCGCATTGTCCCTCCATGAAGAGAATTATAAATATAAATAATCACTTTTTTAAACAAATGACTAAAAAGTGGAAAATAAATCTCACATAAAAATGTTTAAGGGAAAAAGCTTTATTACATTAACAAATCACAAAAAATAATCATAATCACAAATGAAATAATGCATTAAAAAGTGTATCATAACTAAAGTTATATGCTGGTATGTCTAAAAAAGTAAACACTGGGCGCTCACTTATCGAAAATATATTCCCTTTACATAGGTAGTTCATTTATATATCGTATGTTATGATCTATGTTCGACTAGTGGCACACATCCGAAACCATGTAAAGGCCGCAGCTTAAAGTCAAGACATCTGGTTAGGGTCGAGAGCAAAACCCTTCTTGGTTCCCGGCAGTCTTGCACCTCTCCTCCCCCACGCTATTTAGAGCAAGCAACGGAGATTCGCCCGTCTAGTGTGGACAAATCTCCCGGCTCGCCCATGTAGGGGACTTGGGAGTCCGACGTACCAGGCTCTTCGGAGCTCGTCCTACGAAAATCCTACAGCGGCTCCTTCCTTAGGTCTCGGGCGTACAGATTAAAGACCCCTAGCTACCGCTAGCTCCCCGGGTAAAAACCCGGGTCCCCTTCCGCGACCACGAGGAGGTCGTAGCTTCAGGTCGAAACATCTGCCGTAGGGCCATAAAAACCCCTTTCGTTCCTTAAACACTGACATAGACAATCGAAAAACTTACAAACTTTAGGTTTTATTTCCCGATGCTGCTAGATATAAACAAAATGCCATAAAAGTTGTCACAATGTGTTACAATGTGTAACATGTTAAAAACTCCAAAACTGATTTTGTAAAAATATATAAAACTCTAGTGTTAATAATCGTTAAATGAGTTAGTCCATCAATGATGGCGCAATAATTGTGGTAAATCGTGCCATCCCAAAAATTTACATCAAGCACCGTATTGCCAAATGTCAAGTATAATTAGATTTTCCCTAAATTACCCCCCCCCCCAAATTCCCGCCTCAAGTAAAGGATAAATACAATGTTTTTTTTCACCAAATTAGACTTACAACCATTTAAAAAAAACAATTATGTTACGAACAATCCAAATTTAAAACAATTACATAATTTCAGATTCTCATTTAAATTAAAACACAACTAAGCCTCTATGTAAACATCTGTATTGCCGTCATATGTTAATGTAAATTTTATGCGTGGGTCAACCTTTAACATCTGACAGAGTTTCGTGGTTCGAACCCAGTTGACGGCGGTGCACGTATCGCTGTCACGACGTCGTTGACACAGAGCTGTACAAGCCAGGGCGCTGGTGGTGGTGGTTGTGAGAAAAGGCGAAACTTGCAGGAAATGATTTCTGGTAACGGTGAAGTAGTAGTCCCTGTAGGATGCGTAGCTGACCATCACTTTCACCTCACAAATATTTATGTTGTCCAAGCCGAATCTATCGGAGAGAATATATATATATATATATATATATATATATATATATATATATATAAATATATATATATATATATATATATGTATAGAGAGATAGATAGATATAAACACATTTTACATGTAAAATCCGCATTTTATATGGTTATACAAAACACCCAACCCATGCGTAATAATGTAAAATACTGAATATAGGAATATTATATACTTCACATATAACCTGAATGTTTTGAGTTTACTCATTTTTAAAATTACTCTAACATATGATCATCATGAAATATCCATGACACCTATCAGCCTTAAATCGAGATCCATTTTCCAATACCTGCATTCTGAATTACGATATAGACAGGCTATTCTTCAAATAATGACTTTAAGAGAATGAATTTGCAAATATGTCCTCTATAAAACAAACAATATATAGGTTATCTTGGTGTGCTACGAAATTTATGTAAATGAAATATGAACCTAGTAAATCGGACAAATCTCCCCATGATTGGGTAGTCACATATCTGTGTCAAGGTCGCTCCCTGTCCAACTGGTTCTATTCTCTTGTAGCACACCTCGCCAGGGTCAGTGGGGAAGCCACTAGACAACCTTGGGTCAGACCGAAACACGTCAAACTGATAATTCTGAGTTCTGAGAGATGAGTTGTTGTCGTCTCCCCTGTGAGGCGAAAGGAAGACATTTTATACAGTATCATATATTATACAGTATCATACATTTAATATTACACAGGATCATATATTATACAGTATCATATATTAAATATTATCATATATTACACAGTATTATACTTTATACAGTATACTTTATAGAACCATACAATGCACATTCATTCATTATACAGTGTCATCTCCTTTATAATACCTTACTTTACATAGTGTCATAAAATACACATTATTATTACCCCATTTGCCGACTAAAAAATTAAACGTAAACCATGTTTGACAACTTAGAATTTTAAATTTGTTTTAACCTTTGTTTTATTTTGATGATGAATGCAGCACAATCTAAAACGTGAAATGACTGTAATAAGTTTTTAATTAGAGAATCAATATTAATAATAAAGTTTAACTAGAAGCGTGAAATGAATGGGACTAAGGCGATTTGAAAATACCTTTTTCACAACTTATAGTAATTATGCTACTTAAAAATTATTATACCATACTTGATTAGCATAAACAAAACTATGACCTTTAAAACATTTATTCATCATTTTCCATTTTCTCGGTGTTTTCCACTAAATTAAAATACACGCGAATTAGAAATAACACAGTATAAATAGAATATTCATTAATTTTCATCACAACATTGTAATTCACCTGTTTACTAGAACAATCTGCTCCACTCTGTAGAGACCTCTGAGATCCACCATCCACCATCCAGGGTCGTCCACATTAGTATGGGTGCAGCTGGCTAAACTCACACTATCGTTACCGTCATTAGCATTACTAGCTGGCAGAGAGATGGTTGTATACACCGAACTGACATAGGCTGGTTTGTACAGCGCTGCGTTAAAGAGACTGTCAGACACAACACTCATGCTGCGATGTAAAGACAAAATAGTGCGAACATTTATTTTAGCAGTCTCCAAGAATGATGCGACAAATGCGATGTAGTGCTTCCGCACAACGAAGAATGACAATTAAATACAAATTTTTTACAACCTTCTCTACTTTTGTTATTAAACGCATTGACCTTTAATGACACGCCTGAATTAAAGCAACTTATTGACTAGCTGCTGATTGCTTTAGTCTTTAACCCGACTAACTCTCTCTTAGTACGATACATTTACAGGATACAACGAGGGGCAACATTCCTATTTCTGTTAACTCAGATCTCGGCTATCATTTTACAGCGTATGATTAATTGATCACCTTCAGTTAATTAAACAAAGTATTGTCCTTTAGCTACAAGTATAGATTTAACGTACACAAAAAATGACTTGGCTATTTATTTTGAACACTGTTCATTTAAAAATGTTAGCTACCGTTTTCTCAGGTGCATCGTTAAATATAAATGGGGATCATTTACTATTGCAGAGAAAGATTGTTGGGCTGTCGTCGAAACTGTATAACGGCACACAATATCTACTTCACCGCAATACATGGAACAGGATACTAGCTGGATAAGACAAGCTCTGGTATACAAAAAAAGTACACCGGGTTAGATCGAGACATAGCACCTTGCTGGCCAATCGGCATTGGTTTTATAAAGTAATTATTAAATGTCTTTCTTAATGTGAATACAATGGAAAAAAACACACCGAAAGCGTCAATATAGAACACGTTCAAATATTGACGTAGAATAGTAGTAGGTGCTTTGACCACAGGTGCTTTGACCATAGGAGGTTTGACAATAGGGGGTTTGACCACAGCTGAGCTTTGACCATAGGGGGTTTCACCATAGGGGGCTAACCACACGGGGTTTGACCATAGGGGGATCGGCCACAGTGGGGCTTTGGCCACATAGGGAGGGGGGAATTAATCATAATATATAGATATTAAAATATACATTTTGAACTGTTATTTGATTTTAATTTATGATACACTTAACACGATTTTAAAAATATTTCCTGAGAGTACATTAATAAAAATTAACATGTACAAAAAAAAAGTCAATAACGATATGTTAGTCTCCACATACAGGCTGGTGCAAGGCGTCATAGATTTATTTTAGAAATAAATGAAAATGGAACATAAATAATGTAAAATATAAAAAAGGTTCACACATTAATAATGAAGATGTTCTTGAAAATACATAGCATACATAAAGGATAAAACAGCATGCCAACAGTATTGTCAAAGAAGTAACACTGTCCCCCATTACCCAATATTAATCCTTACTATATACAGACAAAGCGCTTGTTATCAAACGCCCGCATTGGACAAACCACCTGTGATCAAAGACCTTCTGCTGAGAAAACAGTTGTGGTCGATCCTCTTATGGTCAAAGCCCCTATGGTCAAAGCTCCTATGGTCAAAGGTCCGCGCACCATTTCTTTTGACTTTGCCTTAGGCAATTGATATGTAAAACATGTAACAATCATTAATAAATAGTATTCTAATAAAGCTATATACTCAATGACTTTAAAGAAAGAAAGATAAATTAACTTACCGATCCTATAAATATGTCTTTATCCTTCATGCATATTTGATTATTCCCCGTGTAAAAGATACATTTGAATAATTGCATTAAAATGAGTGTTTGTGTGTGTGTCAGCGGCGTAGCAAATGGGGGGGGGGGGGCGGGGGGGGGGAGGTTGACCGCACCGGGTGACACCATTTAGGGGGGTGACACCAAGGCAAAAAATAGCAAAATATATAGAGAAAAACGATTATTTCAATTAATTAAGTGATTATTTCGAGTGTTAAATAGTCTTTTAAATATCCATCGTTGTGTATCTGTTATCAATTATCACCTTTCTAGACGATAATCTTACTTGATTATTATCCAAAAATAAATATGAATGAATAGGCCTTTCTATTTAAGTATATATTTCAGTTTTTCTCATAGTTATTCATGTTTATTATTAAACTGTTTCGAACTATATGCAGGAAAAATTATCGTCTTTTCGACAATCTCTGAAATTTACACTATAATAATTTACGGCTGCAAAACAATGATTTTTTTCAACTTTTGAAAAATACGATACACGAGCACATTCAGTTATGTTAACATTTAAAATCAACTTACCCTCAAGGGTTCAGTGGCGTAGCTACCGTAAAGCTAGCGTAAGCAAGGCACAGGGGCCCAAGCCATTTAGGTGCTCTTTTACATCTTAAAAGAATAAAAATTTTACGTTGGAATTTTAATATTTGTTTTATACAAATAATTTTGAAAATAAATTAAAATTCAGTTTCTTTTCTATTGTAGAAATAATTAAAAGTTCCAAAAAGGCCCTTCAGCCCTTTCTTACTTTACAAGTAGTGGGATTCTGTGGGGGGGGGGGGGGGTCAAACAGGGCCAATCCGCAATAATATCACTATATCTTTACCTTAATTACATTTCCATTTTTTTATGAAATTAATCTTTAAACAATATGGCGCTACCGACACTATACGTTTTTGGTTTTCGTCCAATCGCCGAGAAATTTTGTGAAATCGTTGAGATGACTCCAAAAGAAAGTTTTTTTCCCTGGCATTTTTCATGAAAAGGTGCATGAAAGCTACTCTGACTTTTGGGAAGGTTTCTGCCATTAAATTTTATTTTATTTCGGGGGAGGCGCCGCTGCAGTTAGCCACCCAGAGCTTCCCAGCGGCTATCTTTGCACCTAGGATCCGTTGATTGGATGTCCGCCGCAGCGCGTCAGCGTTACTACTTGATTCAGCACGGACGCATCAGCCGGCACCCCGGCGGTCGTGTAACCCGGTACATCCTGGGCTCCCCCATGACCACAAAAAACAGATCTAAATATATTCATGAACAATAAAAAAAAATTGTTTGGTTAGTAGCGTCACAAGGTCGGGTGTTATCCTACGTGTTTACTAAAGATGCCACCCCATCGTCCCCAACAATTTTGCATTTTCGGAGTGGTGTTAACCCTCTCTCACCAATCTTTTATTATTTTATCTGGATACAACTTAGTTTTGACAGTAAATTTTAAATGTCTTGTCATGGTGTCACGCCTAAATGTTGTCATCCTTTGCTGACCGCACCTCTGCCCCAGCCTTATGATGCTACTGTGTTTGTTTGCTTAAAAAAAAAACAAATTAACTGTAAGCCTATAACATTTTTACAAAACTACATACTAATCTATATATATAAAAAGCAATGTATGTCTGTGTGTGTGTGTGTCTGTGTGTCCTTTATGCATTACTACACCTCTCATCACATCGCCGTGAAACTTTGGAAAGTTGTTGAGAATATTCCTGGGGAGGTTTCTGCGAAAAAAAAATTTCAAATTCGCAGGGGTGGCGCCCCGGCAGGGCGCGATTTGTTTTTCTCTATATACCGTATATAAAAATAAAAGTCTTTTTTGATTTCACACTGTTCATCCGATAGGCGTGAAACTTTGGGGAGTTGATAAGAACACTCTAGAGAAGGGTTCTGTACAAAAATCATTTTTAATTTTGCAAGGGCGGCGCCACGGGAGGGTGCGATTTTTCTCTATATACGGTATAAAAAAATAAAAGTCTATTTTGATTTCACAATGTTCATCCGATAGGCATGAAACTTCGGGGAGTTGATTAGAACACTCTAGAGAAGGTTTTTGTACAAAAATAATTTTTAATTTCGCAAGGGCGGCGCCACGGGAGGGTGCGATTTTTCTCTATATACGGTATATAAAAATAATAAAAGTGAATTGCCGTGACTCCGTTTACACGATCGCCATGAAACTTTAGGAAGTTGTTGAGAATATTCCTGGGGAGGTTTCTGCGAATAAAATATTTCAAATTCGCAGGGGTGGCGCCCCGACACGGCGCGATTTGTTTTTTTTCTATATACGGTATATAAAAATAAAAGTCGATTTTTGTTTGGCACCGTTCATCCGATAGCCATGAGACTGTGGGGAGTTCATTATACAACTCTAGGGATGGGTTCTGTAAAAAAAAAAATTTTAATTTCGCAAGGGCGGCGCCACGGGAGGGTCCGATTTTTCTCTATTTACGGTATATAAACATAATAAAAGTGAATTGCAGTGACACCGTTTATTCGATAGGGGAGTTCATTATACAACTCTAGGGAAGGGTTCTTTAAAAAAAAAAAAATTAATTTCGCAAGGGCGGCGCCACGGGAGGGTGCGATCTTTCTCTATATACGGTTTATAAAAATAAGTCGATTTTGGTGAGACACCGTTATCCGATAGCCATGAGACTTTGGGGGAGTTGGTTAGAACAATTCAGGGAAGGGTTCTGTAAAAGAAATCCTTTTTTAGTTTCGCAAGGGCGGCGCCACGGGCGGCTGCTATTTTTCTCTATGTAACGAGACTATTTGCCTGTAGGGCCAAATGTTAACGAGTTCTGCTCGACAACGCCAAATGTTACCGAGTCTAACCACTCATTCTACACAACATCGACCACAGTATAGATACTCGAAGATGCAGGTTCGCTATTGATCCTTTTATTACATGAATCAAAGAAATGCTTCACAATAATATAATAAATCAAAAGGAATGCTTCACAATAATAGTCTGAATCAACTGACCCCCAACAGTCCTCACTAGTCTTCACATAACTGAATGCACATGTCTATCGTCCTTCTTAACACAATACGGCTAACCCGTTCAATAACCAACTTGATACTGCCTCACTGACTGACTGATCGAGAGAGAGACCGAGAGACAGCGAGCTCAGCCGTCGCCTTCCTATATATCCCCCTCGTATTCGTAATCGTATTCGGTTCTATCATAATCGTACTTGTAATCGATTCTAATCGTTGCATCAGAATGTTAATTACACCGCTTCTGTCGTACAGTCCGATTTAATAAGCCATCTGCATCCTGTCACGTCAAAGTTGACAGACCGTATTGCGTTCTTATCGTATCGCTTCCCAAGATACTACGCCTTGGCTTTCTGATCGTTATCAGCCAACACCTGTGTT